TACAAAATGTTGCATGCTTAAGATCGAACTTGGCTAGATGCTGATAACGATGATACTGTTGTGTTGGGATTATAATGGACATTGGAATTTAGAGATAATTGTTAAGAAGTCCGCTCAATTCCACTTCAATGTTTCTGTAAGGCTGATAAATATTGTATGTATTATTAGATGACCAAATAAAGGAGTCCTATAGGTTCTTCCAATTACAAAACGAGGTTAGGTCGACTAGGTCGACAATTTATTTTCTGTGATATTACCAATTACCCCAAAAATCTACATCTTCGTCACATTCCTAATAACCACTATAATTATAAGGCGTGTGTTGTCCGGCGCCAAAAGTATGGATCGACGTCGACAGGACTTGAACCTGTGCGGGCAGAGCCCATGAGATTTCTAGTCTCACTCCTTAACCACTCGGACACGACGTCACATGACTAATGGCAGCAGCCAAGCGAACTCAATGCGTTGAGAAGAGACCAGCTGATTATCACTCTGCTTTCTTCGATACGCAAATACAACCTTCTGAATATCAGACATCCTCCTCGTAAAGCATGCAACGGGGATATCAATTCGCCCAAATCCACCAAAGGAATGTATTTTCAAATCCATTTTACAACCACCATACATATGAATCAAAGTAAATTTGTTATATCACATGTTAAATTTGTATGCGTAAAGAGAATATGAGGAAACCTAAAATGTGGTGCCTTCAGCAGGTTGTGGGAGTTTTTTGTTTGAGGAGCTTGCCATTTCACTGCAAAGTTTGGATCGATCGGGCGGAATCATATATGTAATGTAGGTATAAGGTTAGGCATTAGCATATCGGCATTTGGTCATGACCAACAAAATTCAGGGAATAGGAGGATTTGGAGAATTATGTTGTCGTTGAGACAATAACTTACCGTCGCAACTCAGCCAACACTGTTTCCAATGAGTAGTTTCTTTGCCATTTTGCAAGGCAGTTGAGTTTATTCGGTTCAACCTAGATGTAGTCGCCGACAGAAGTGAGAAGAATAATTTAATCAATAAATATTCAACTTCTCCTGTGACAGAATTCAAAATAAAAGCGGCGGGAAAAAAAGAGCCGCAAAATAAAATAATTACAAGGGTGATAAATACCTTCCCGTTAGTTTGATTGACACACGGTAGATTAATTTTGCTGATGAAAGAAACTTTGGGCGCTGAATCGGGGTAGTTTTCGTCACAGTGAAGTTTAAGACTGTAGATTCTGTTTTCGTGGACGGTCTGTTTCAATCAGTTTACAATTTGTGTGGAATCGGTGAGTTATACAGAAAGCGTGGACGTTGTGGGTACGTAAATCAGACAAGCTGTACTTTCAATATAAAGGAAAACAATAGGCAGCAAACATACATGACCAGGGCCCAAGATAGTTCCGTTCCAGTCTGACATCAAAATATCTTCGGGGTTGGCTAAACCGTATGAGATTGTTCCATCACCAATACCTAATTTCCATCAATTTTTGTATCATAATTTCAAAAATTCCGCCATTTCGTGAGCAAACAAAATGTAGTTCGAGGAGTGAAGACAATCACGTTAGCAATCGGTTTGACGGTTGTTTTAGTTCGAAAAAAAGGCAAGAAACATTGTTGTCGTCGACACACAGTATAGTAACAACACAAATTTATGCCAATACGTTTGAAAGAAGGCAACAATAACCTTTTTCTCCCTTTTCTAATTCCTCTAGTAGACGAAAGTTACGGGGTACTGGATATGTTTTAATCACAGTTGATGATAATGAGCAGGGGGTGAATTTTGAGCGAGGCAAGAAGAGTGATAACACATTTCGAGCAACAGATACAATTTGGAGATTACAACAGAATAAAGCAAGTTAGGCCACCGAGAGAAAATGAGGTAAATTGTACTGTGGTATCTCTGTTCTCGTTGACATGGGAAGGACGGGTTCGCCAGACGAAACCGAGAGTAGGTCAAACAACGCACCCTTTGCCATAACTTAGTAAAAGATAGTGATTAAAGGTTTGAATATACACAAATGCAGTTGATTATTCCACAGAGATGGAAAGCAACGATGACGATGAAAGAGCGAGTGGAGCGACACAAGAGGGAAGAAATGACGTTTGTTTACGAGGAACAAGTTGAACGCGAATGGCAATTTTACTGTCTTTAATTTTACTACAATTGATGTCGAATACATATAATATATTTACAGATATCTCTTGGCGATTCCTCGTACTTTAGAATCGAAGCTGCTCGAATTAATGGGACTGTTGATCTCATAGAATGGATTAAGCATCACCTATTAGCACATCACTCATTAGAACAAGCTTATCCTCTTTCGCACTTCACCCACATCTGTTCCTTACACCTAAATAGAATAAATGACAAACCTTGATGAATAATTCATGAGTTTCTTGGAAAAAGTTTTTAATACCATCGTCATTTCTGGTATCGTGAAGTAGCATGAGCCTCTGATCTGTATCAATGAAAGCATGCTAAGGAAGTAATTAGAAAGTCTCTATACTGTGAGCCAGTCGGAGCACTCAACTATCGTCCAGTTTCATCGAATGATAGTGAATACCGATTCAACATAAAAGGATACTGCTCGCAGTGACATAACCTGAGATATACCACTCATTAAACTTATCAACGACTTTGAGATACCTGCATCAGTGCCTTGTTAATATGGCCATTTTACTGTCCCTTCTTTCAGTTTCAGCTATCCCACGTCGAAAGACAAAACATACATAGAGTTCGTTCCCCACATCAATTCCTCCAATACATCTAAAGCAGCGTGCACAATGAACTGATTTAAGTGTTTAAGATCGTTGCTCTAAAGGAAATGCCATACGTCAACTAAACCGTCACATTCTGTCAATAAGTGAAAAGCATGTACCTTTATTCCACCATCGACTCGGGCGGAAGAACCCAATTCAGCTTCATAAATAGGGTTGTCGCGGGTACCAACTATAACGAAGTAATAACTCATTTAGTGGGTTATGTACGGTGAGATATTAACAAATTTTCTAGGCTGTAAGCTCGAGGAAAGGAATATATATTTGAAAAGGGTGTGGAGGAATTTAACGATGCTGTGTAGATTTCGCTTTTAGGAACAATTCGGTTTTGGGTTTTCGACTTGTCACAGGCTTTTCTTTTTTCGCTCGGCGTTTCTATTTCTTCTACTCCATTTAAAGCTTAGATAAATAGACAAATTACTCTTGATGAAGTATCTGCTTAGGCTGCCAGTAGCACATGCTTTAAAGCGACGGCCCTATTCTACTGTGCGTATACGGACTCCAACTCCTTCCAACCCTCTTGTCATTCTTGGCATTGAAACTTCCTGTGACGATACCTCCGCCTCGATCGTAACATCAAATCGTGACATTAAATCTCTCGTCACTATACACCAAACCCCAATTCATGAGAAGACGGGTGGGATTATACCAGCTATAGCATCTTTGCACCATTCACGGAATTTGCCAAAAGTCATCTCTAAAGCCATCGACGATGCCGGCATTACTGTGGAACAAATCGATGCAGTGGCTGCAACAAGAGGTCCCGGTTTGGCTAGTTGCTTAGGAGTTGGGTTAAATGCTGGAAAAGTGTTGGCTTCTGTATTGAAGTAAGTCCTTTTCGTTGGATTATATAGTTAGAACTTCAGCATTGTGGTATTTCGCTTAAGTCAAGTTTTTACGAGTGATATTAATGATATGCTTTAGAAAACCAGTAATCGGAGTTCATCATATGGTTAGTTTGGAACTTGCTTATTAGTTCTACAGTCGTAAAAATCCCCAATCATATATTATGCTAACTGTGAGTTCTCTTTAATTATAGGAAGCCCATCTCTTAACGCCGCTTCTGACATCCCCTATTCCACCTTCATTTCCATTCCTGACATTGTTACTCTCCGGCGGGCACACTCTTCTTGTTTTGTCCCATTCAATAAATCATCACCAAGTTTTAGGGACAACTTTAGACGATTCTATCGGCGAGGCCTACGACAAAGTTGCGAGATGGTTAGGATTGAAGTGGTTGAATCAAGGTGGTGGCGCAGGGGCTGCCTTGGAAATAGCAGCTAGAAGAGCACAGAAAAGATTACATGGACCAAATCAGAAACGGATACAGTTTACAGTTCCCCTTCGAGAGGGTAGAAATCGTGATAACCAAAGAATGAATTTTAGTTTCTCTGGATTGAAAACCAGTGTCAAAAATTATATTGATCGTTGCGATATCTTGCATTTATCTCAGTTTCCTCAGTCCAAAGCAACTATCAACGCATCATCTACCTCAAGTCCCCATGTAACAGACATCGATCCTGACTCGGTGCGCATGAGAGAAGAACTAATATTCGAAATCGCTTATGCCTTCCAGGAGGCAGCCATAACTCATTTGATGGATAGATTTAAAGTTGCAGTTGAATATTGCCAGAGAAACGTCAAGGAAGGTATAGTGAAAGATGTAGTCGTAAGTGGAGGGGTTGCTAGCAATCAAGCTATTCGAAATCGGTTCGTTTTATTGATTAGCTAGGATTAAATCTTATTTTCGGTCGCTCATACCACCTTCATTTTCTTTTACAACAGTCTTACAACATTCACGACCACCCAAAACCTCAACCTTCATATACCGCCCGCCAATCTCTGCACCGATAATGCCGCTATGATCGCTTGGACAGGTCTAGAACGGTTACGTTTAGGTCTAGTAGATGAAGCAGATATAGATTATATACCCAAATGGGGGTTAGAAGATTTAGGCAAAGTGCCAGAAGAAGAATGGAAAGCTAGAGTAGAACGCCGTTAACTTATGTGACTGCTCTTGATATTATGAATAAGAAACAGCGAGAAAATTGAATTTATGTCGCATAGATGACCCGAGTCAATGATCAGCCTAAATTATCATACGTAATAAACTGAAGTGAATTCAAATACATTAGAATGAGCATCAGAGACATGGACATGATCTAAACACTGACCATGCGGGAAAATGGATTAAATATGGTGCTGCTTCATGACGGCGGATCGCTGTTTGTCTTCGTGGTGTAGTCGGTTATCACATCTGTCTTAGATGCTCAACCATGACGTTTGTACACAGAAGGCCTCCAGTTTGAATCTGGACGAAGAGAATTATGCAGCTATATCATTTTAAATTTTGGGATAGGCATCGATACAATCCGGTCATCGCTCACCGCCATGATTTTGAACAGTTTCTATTTGGTCTTGGTGGGCAACATCTGTTGATGGAAGCTCAATCATAGATAATCATGAGCGTCCTTTCCTGCAACGGAAGCTCAGATTTGGCGGTTACGATACTCTCAGGATTGAATCGTAGCTGACAACAGTATTTCGATGCCAACAAAGGCGTGCGTGTGTTCCCGCGTTGGATGCGAGGTTGCATCAAGTCTTGACGGTTGGCGCTTACATAGTCATAGTGAGGGCCCGCTAATAAGCAACTGTCACTTATATGGACTGTGATGCAAAAATGACATAAATAAAAAGCAAGATAGATGCCCAAGAGGGTTTCCAAAAATTGATATATCCTTGCTTTGTAATCTTTACACACGGAAGTCTTTAGTAAAAGGCGAAAAACTTTTTCCAATTGCGCAAAGATCGCAAGGCGAACTAAAGAGGAACCAGGCGATGTGTGTTCTATTTATACGAGAGAAATTGGTAGCGGATGAGAAAATTGTGGGTGGAACTTGTGAGAACAAAAAGGGGAACCACTCCATGTTCATGGTGAACGATGGAGCATAACGGGTGAACTTTGAGATGCGTTGTTGGAATAAGTAATATGGATCCGAGACTATCGCAATGCCCATAGTTTCCAACATTCTATCTGAGAAGATGGGTTCAAAAGTAAAGAATAATTCATTCCATGCTCAGCACAAGAAATCACCAGCTCCGACTAATCACATAATCCGCAGAATCACTAATTCATACACCATCGACACAGTGAATATTAATAAAAATCACAAGATAGTACAAACTATTATTTCCAATTTTTAAGGAGAATACAAAATGCGCTATGATATACACGATGTCCAATACAAGATATTCAATACAATTTGCTAGGTTATGATGATATTAAGTTCTGATACACGCTAGTAGACTTGATAAGCGCAGATGAAACAACACAGGGATCGAGAAGGAAGGAATTGATAGAGAAGGAGGATGGTTGACAATCTTAAAGATTAAACAATCCAAAAGATACAACAATCCAGATTCGCAATATGTCACCATCAAACACATCTCTTATTGTTTTCTAGCCAGTACCAAGGCGGTTCTGCATGGAATATAAACCATGACGAAACATCTTCTATGGCACCAATTCTCATTGGTTGTATGATATTCACCACCTTTTTCAACTCTTCCCCATCCACCAAAATCTTTGTCGTCACTGCACAAGACAACTTCATAGCACCCTGCAACGTCTACACCAATTCGGTAATTGGTGAAACTCTTGTTTGTATGAAAATTGAAAACCCACAGGAGATCTCCGCGCTCGAAAGCTATAACTTTGTCTCCTTCGTGTTTTAAACTAACATACGCCGGCGGGGACGCTAGAATCGAATTCTTAGCATCGAGAGCATTCATACCAATATCGAAATTGTTAAGAAATTTGAATCGTAGCAATGGATCATCGACTAAGTTCCACTGACGACGACAATAGTGATAGCTGTCGTTGTTACCCTCTCTAGGAAAATCAAGCCATTCGGGGTGACCAAATTCGTTACCCATGAAATTTAAATAGCCTTCACCTCCCAAAGCGAATGTTAATAACCGAATCATTTTGTGCAAGGCGATACCACGTTCAATAATCGGTGTTAAAGGCGATAAATCTGACATAAAATCATACATTTCTTTATCCATCAACCAAAATGCAATAGTCTTGTCACCAACTAAAGCTTGGTCGTGCGATTCAGCATAAGCAATCGAATTTTCTTTCCACCGACGGTTCGTTAAAGTATGAACTATATTGCCAATATCCCAATCTTCGTCTCGTTGTTCCTTCAATATCTTGATCCACATGTCGGGGATTGCCATAGCAAGTCTGTAGTCAAAACCAACACCGCCTTCTTCGACTGGACGACACAAAGTCGGCATTCCGGATACATCTTCAGCAATAGTAATAGCGTGAGGGTAGTAATGATGAATGAGTGTGTTGGCGAGCATGAGATATACAACTGCATCTTCATCAACAGAATCATTGTGGTATTCATCATAGTGACCTGAGAATCCAAACCCAATACCGTGATGTTTATACAGCATAGACGTCACGCCATCAAATCTAAATCCATCAAACTTGTACTCGTCCAACCAAAACTTGACGTTCGACAGCAAGAATCGTAGGGTTTCATAGTTCGAATAATTAAATAATCGACTATCCCATAAACTATGCCATCCCAGGTTACCACCGTGGAAGTAGCAGTAATCAGTGCCATCAAACATGTTCAACCCGTCCAAGACGTTCTTACTGGCATGAGAATGAACAATATCAAGCAAGACTGATATCCCCATTTCGTGAGCAGTATCAATCAACTCTTTAAGTTCTTCCGGTGTGCCATAGCGGGACGAGGCCGCAAAGAATGAAGTCACTTGATATCCAAACGAAGCATAATAAGCATGTTCCATAATAGCCATAAGTTGAATAGCATTATAACCTAATTTTTTGATTCTAGGCAAAGTGTTTTTTGTGAAGTCTTTATAACTGGCAATTTTGGGCTCGTTCGATGATATACCGACATGGGCTTCGTAAATACGTAAGGATGTCGGTTTTGGTGGCGGGGAGTGCTTCCATTTGTATTGTTGATCAGCAGGAGGATTCCAGTAAACCGATTCATAAGCAACACTTTCGGTGATATCTTGTACGACTCGTCGAGAGTAAACGGGTAACCTTTCGATACGTTCGCCCACAGGAGACACCATTGAGATTTTAACCTTTGAATCGTGCGGAATGCCCGGCTGCTTATTGGACTTTGGAGGGACGGCAACCTCCCACATACCGAAATCATTTCGTTTCATTGGGTGAGAGTTACGATTCCAATCGTTGAAATCACCAATTAGATAAGCCTCTTTTGCAGCGGGTGCGTATTCTCTGTAGACGATAGTTCCATCTGGCAGAGTAGTGAAGCCCATACGATTGTACGAAGATGCAAAATTGAAAAGACCACCTTCGTTTTTGAGAAATATGTCCATCCAAATCTTGAATTTCTGAAAGCGGCGGGTGAAAACGTGGCGGTAAGGCGACAGATAAGGATCATTTTGGATGACAGCAGGGAAGGAAGGGGACACTAGGACATCAGTAGGATCAAACGGATTGCCGCTTGTTGATGCCGAAGCGGAGGAGGAAACTGAAGATTTTGAAGCGACCTGTTTTTGAGAGGCTGGGCCGGTTGTTTTTTGAGGGGCGATTGCGGAGGTGGTCATGATGGGCAAAGAGATCCGAGTGCGAAAGAGGGAATCTATAAGGCAATACAAATTATGTGCGAAGGGATAGTCGATAGATCTATCGCAACGACGAGGGTGCAAAGAGGGGTTTATATTGTGGATGGGAGAGCGAGGGAAATGCAGCCAAAGTCAACGAGGGAGATGACGCCCAATTCCTCGCTTATCACTCTTCATCTTACACGGGGATAATGCAGCTACAAATACATTACATCATATTCAGAGTGGTTGCTTTTATCGGTGGAGTACATACGATTCAATGAATAATTGTCGTTGTGGATATTTGATATCTTCGCAATCGATTTCTGCTGGAATACATCTGCCCTCGTTGATAGATATCCACGGCCCAGCAGCTTGGCGGGAAGGAATGGATCCAGGCCATCCTCAATTAAAGAAATTCCTCTCGCCAGGCTGGAAAGAATATAGCGAGCAAAGTTATCACATACTTGCATATCATGCAGAGCTCATTCAGTCGCTTGTCGTTAGAGACTGTCGTCAGAATCTTGTTCTTCGTCGACAGGAAAACTCTATCCTCGTCATGTCTTCTTGTCAACAAACAGCTGTCGCTAGCCTCAGCTAGGGCAATCTACAAATCTATACATATTCACATCACACCAAAATCTTCTTCCGTCCTTCTCCCTCTTCTGACTTCTCTTATCTATACATTTCTGCTCTCTCGTAAGAATCTGGCTACATATCAATATCATTCTTTCACAGAAACGATAGAGGTTTCCGTCAATACCCCAAGAGCCGCCACCATTGCCGACGAATTCAGCCTGCTCCGACTGATCACTGCATTAATATCGCAGTGCGACAACTTAAAATATCTGGTTCTTCCGCCACCGAGACTGGACTTTGATTCCTATATTCGTGACGCCGTGGGCCTCGGTGCATTCCACAATCTGGAATCGTTCTCGTTTGGCAAGTTCGTGTCAGATAAAACTATTTTGGAATTGTCGTCTGCTACCCCAAGGTTGACAAGCTTGACGATAAATCACAATAAAAATTTAAATGACGAGATTTTAGGGAAAGCGTTATCTAAATGGCCTAATCTGACTGAATTCACGGTTACCAATACCCACAACGTTACGGTAAAAACGCTTTATCATTTGATCGACCTAACACAATGCTCAACTATCCGTTTTCAATGCTGTCCGTTACGACAAACCTCCGATGAATTTGATGTCATGCAATATCTTGTGTCATCTCCAAATCGGCGCGACAAATCAAAGCCGACCAACAAACGGCAATTGAAAAACCTTGCTGTCCTTTTGCATCACCAACATGACGGTTCTGGCGAATCTATGAATGATCTCGCTCAGTTTCTAGAAAAAGTTCAAGTTTCCAGTCTTGAAATCGGTGGTTTTATACAACATTATCCGCTGTCTGCATTTCAACCTACATTCAAACATTTCAAGTTCCTCACCCATCTCAATCTCAACTACTTGTCCTTCTCATCCCCTGTACCATCCACACCCACCATTACGTTAACATCTCTTCTCTCTAATGTCACCAACTTGACGGAACTCTGCATTCAATCTATCGCACATTTCAACGATTCCCACCTTCAACTGCCAGCTATGCCCACTCTTTCTACCCTTAAGCTCGGTTTCATGTCAGAGTTATCAGATAATCAGATCCGTCTTCTCACTATGGCACAGTCTAATCTCAAAAATTTGGT